GTCGAAATGATACTCGTGGAGAAACAATTATTTCGAATATCTCTTCCTTCGGTTTGACAATGGATGAGAATGGATCTCTCTATGTTGTTGACTATGGAAACCATGAAGTAAGACGATATGAAATTGGTGACACTAAAGGAACAGTGGTTGCAGGTGGGAATGGGAAAGGAAATGGTCTCGATCAACTCTCTAACCCTACCTACGTATTTGTCGATCGAGATCATTCAGTATATGTGTCTGATACATGGAATCATCGTGTAATGAAATGGGAAGAAGGTGCAAAGCAAGGTATTGTCGTAGCCGGTGGTCAAGAAAAAGGAAATAGTCTTACACAATTGACAGGACCTAACCAAGTCGTTGTCGATCAATTGTGTACTGTTTATGTGGCTGATTGTAGTAATGATCGAATCATGCGTTGGCCAAAAGGAGCCACACAGGGAAGTGTCATTGTTGGTGGAAGCGGCAGAGGAGCACAGTCGGATCAACTCGATCGTCCCATAGGTTTATCATTTGATCGACATGGCAATCTCTATGTCGTCGATTACGGAAATCATCGAGTACAAAAATTTAATGTCGAACAAACTCATTACGATGATTAATTTTATTTTTTTTGTTCTCTTTCTCTTTCAAATAAATCGCGATTGAATGAAAAAAGAATTGATAGCTATTCTATTCGCACGCGCGAGAAGATCCATATCATCCACATGCATCCATCCGATGTCATGTGTCAGTGAGTCTGGGGGGCTCAATCGTGTGCCACGGACACCAAGACAGATCCTGGCCGAGCTTTTAAGCACTACTCGGAAGTCCTTCTTATAACGCGAGGGTGTGGATGTGGGTGTAGTTGTGAATCTTTAGTTCAACCACACCCACAATTCACCCACCCCCACCCACACCCACACCCACACCCTCGACGAAAGTATAAAAACAGGAGAAAAAAATATCAGCCAGAAATGATAAAATAATAACATTCACAAACGAATAGAATGACAATTCATCAGAAAATGAACGTAAAAATATCATCTTCGTGAAGTAAATTGTTAGTTAATTATAAATATAACATATTTTTTACCTTCACATCTATTGATAAAATCGAAATTAAACAGTTCTTTGAGATATTGATTGTTGGCAGATGTCAGATATCAGTTA